TTGGACTGTTCTCAGATACTAAATATTCCAAAGGCATAGACTTGCATAACATCCTGAGCTGTCTTTCCTGATAAGGAACAGAGGCATTCCGCATGCCATGTTAGGTAATCTTTTTTTGTGACTCCAGCTGCTATGAATTGAGAAGAGATGTTCCATTCGACTTTTGGCTTTCAAATTTGCTCTTTTTTAAATTCACATAACTTTTCATTTGAAGCAGCAAGGGTTGGACATGGGAGCCTCTAATAGGCACATTATTTGCTCTTTTTTCACTGGGTGGTAAAGCCTTTCATGTTCATATCAGCAGGGCTTGTCTGTGGTGGCCCCCTGAAAGAACTTACCTGTGAATTGTGATTAGAGCCAGCCCTATTGTTAGCCAAAGAGAGTAGCTGCTGCCTTTACCAGAAGATCCTATGGAGCATGACAAGCTGTTGGAGGACAAGAGTTGTGGGTGTGGGTGTCACTTATTATGTTCAGAACCTCCTTAGCTTGCTGTTCCAAGAGGCAGGGAAGACCCTGTCTCACTACTAAAGTAAAATTCAGCTGTGCTCAGATTTTATCTATGGAGGCAGCAAGACTTCTGGCAACTGAAAGACAAACCTATCCTGGGGTTTCCTTGGCAAGGTTTGTTCAGAGGAGGTTTGCCATTGCCTTCCCCTGAGGCTGAGAGTGTGTGACTTAACAACAACAACAACAACAACAACAATAATAATAATAATTTATATACCACTCTTTGGTGATCCAATCAGGGCGGTTAACAACATTAAAAATAATACAAAAACAATATACTCTCCAAGACTTGTCCAAGTTCACCTAGTGGTTTTCATGGCAGAGTGGGGAATCAAATCCAGGTCTCCAGAGTGGTAGCCAACACTCTCACCACTTGGCAAGCTTCTCCAGAGGAGGGTTTCCATTACCACTTGGGACTGAGAGAGTGTGACCTGCCCAAGTTAATCCAGTGCCTTGGAGTCATTTCTAACTTATGGCGACCCCTATCATGCGGGTTTTCTTGGCAAGTTTCTTCAGAGGAGAGTTGCCATGCTTATCCTCTGAGGCTGAGAGTGTATGACTTGCTCAAGGTCATGGTGTGTTGTTGTGGGGTTTTTTGTTGTTGTTGTTTTTTACTCCGGCCCTCCAATGGTCTGAGGGACAGTGAACCAGCTCAAAAAGTTTGAGGATCCCGATCTAGACACCATACATCTATTAATGCAGCCTAAAATCACATTGGCTTTTTAGCTGCCACATCACAGTGTTGACTCATGTTTAACTTGTGGTCCACTAGGACTTCTACATCCCTTTCACATGTAGTCTTGTTAAGCCCATCCTATATCTATGCATTTCATTTTTTTTCTGCCTAAGTGTAGTACCTTACTCTTCTTGTTGAAATTCATGTTGTTAGTTTTTGCCCAGCTTTCTAATGTATTAAGCTCATTTTGAATTTTCATCCTGTCCTCTGGGGTATTAGCTCCTCCTCCTAATTTGGTGTCATCTGCAAATTTAAGAAACATGTCCCCTATTCTTTCATCCAAGTCATTGATAAAAATGTTGAATAGCTCTGGGCCCAGGACAGAGCCCTGTGGCACCCCACTGGTCACTTCTCTCCAGGATGAAGAAGAAGGAGCCATTGCTGAGCAACCTTTGGGTTTGGCCAGTCAACCAATTACAAATCCACCTAACAGCTGCATTGTCTAGCCCACATTTTACTATCTTGTTTGCCAGAATATCATGGGAGACCTTGTCAAAGGCCTTACTGAAATCAAAATATGCTACAGCCACAGGATGGTAATTTTATCAAAATATAGATAAGATTGGAATGGCATAACTTATTTTTGAGACACCCTTACTGACTTTTTGGCAGTTATGGCATTCCCTTCAAAATGTTCAGACTCTGTTTCATGATTTGCTCTAGAATCTTTCCTGGTATTGATTTCAGGCTAATCAGGCAGAAATTGTTTCACTCCTCTTCCCCCCCCCCCCCTTTTTGATGATGGGAACAATAGGCCTAAGCAGACTGCCAGAAATAGTGCACATTAAATTGAGGCACTGCCCTGGCTCAATGCTAGGGAATCATGGGAACTGTATTTTTTTCTGGGACATTGAGCCTTCTCTGTCAGAGAGCTCTGGTGCCACAATAAATTACAGTTCCCATGATTCCCTAGCACTGAGCCAGGGCAGTGCCTCAATTTAATGTGCACTATTTCTGGCAGTCTGCTTAGGCCCAATGAATCTTTTGGGACTACCCTTGGGCCAGCCTTGACTGTGACCTATGATCAGGACTGTCTCCCACTACATTTCTGCTACACTTAGGACTTTATCACCTATGGGCTTTAAACCACAATTTTAGCATGAGATTAGTGTTGAGAGCCAGCATGGTGTAGTGGTTTGAGCATTGGACTAGGACTCCAAGACCTGGGTTCGAATCCCAGTTCAGCCATGGATACTCACTGAGTGACCTTGGGCAAGTCATACACTCTCAGCCTGAAAGAGACAAAAACAAACCCCTTCTGAAGAAACTTGCCAAGGAAACCACATGATAGGGTCACCATATGTTGGAAACAACTTGAAGGCACACAGCAACAACCAACAAAGTGTCTAGCAATACCTATCGCATGATGTCACCTCCTTATTTCTATGGCTCTGAAACGTTGTGCACATATGTTCACTGTTGGGCAAATGTGTCACTAAGCAGCCAATCATGCTGCCATCACATTACTCCACAGATGTGGTGAGTAACAGTCGACTCTACAGCAGTCCCGATATTGGGCAGTCATGTGGTGCCAGTTCCCTAAGCAGCTTGATTTATTCTTTCTTTCCTACTCTTCTTCTTCTTCTTCTTCCTAAATTGCATTCCCACAACTCCACAATTGTGTTACAAATAAAAATAAAAATAAAAAACCCAAGAGACATGCTGGATGGGGTATAGGGCAAAAAAGCAGGGTTAAAGGGCAACACAGAAAAGAGAGAGAGAGAGCGGAACGATCAATGACACAAAAAGCCCCAGTTTTGCTACCGAAGAGATACGTGACAATAAAAGCTCCAAAACCAGTATGTTTTCCATTCACTTTAAATAACATGATTGCAGCAAGACAGAGGCGAGACTGAGGCTCATATGATGTCCTTAGAGTATCTGACTTTTATTGTCTGAAGACCAAACTAAAACTGATTGCCAGTAGGGTAAGTGGTCCAACATCATTACAACAGTATTGCAATATGAAACTTACTGGGTGACTCTGGGCAGGTCACGCACTCTCAGCCTCAGAGGATGGCAATTGCAAACCCTTTCTGAGAAACTTGCCAAGAAAACCTGTGATAGGTTTGCCTTAGGGTTATCATAAGTTGGAAATGACTTGAAGGTACACAACAACAACAACAACAACATAGGAAGGACAATTATCTTTTCCATTGTGTCCCAATTAAAACACACCCACCAATTATTCCAATTTGACAAAAACAGTCCAAATTAATATTCTATCCTCCCATTTTTGAGCTGCTTTTAAAGTGTCTCATTTTCTCTCTCTTCCTCCCACTTTCCTCATGTTCTCAGCTTACTTCCATTGCTGCAAACCGAGTTCAAAATGCAAAAGCAATTTACACTCAACTCAGTGGGGGGAGAGGAGAGAAGGAGGTCAAATGTCCCTCTTCCCAGTGGACTCAGGCAAAAGCAAACTACTGCAGCCTCTCTTAGCTTATCTGTACTTCATTCATAACCTTTGCCATCCTGACCACTTTTGATGTTGCTAGGTCACAGATGTCCCAGTTTTCATGTGCAAAATGTTGAAAGGTATGTTAACATCACTTTCCCTAAAATACTATTCACAAGTCTGGAGCAGAGGGCTGGATCTCTCTTTCATCCTAATGATGGATTCTTCCATGGAGCTAATGGCACCTTAGGAGAGGAACAGTTTTGGTTAGGAATGCAACAAGGATGGGTAAAGAAGCTTGGCCCTCTGTGTGCTCTGATGGCAATCTTGTTCCCCCAGCCTGTGGCAATTACTTATCTTTTTTCAAATGCCATGCACTGAAGTTGTTTACACACAATTAATATTATAATGTAGTCTGGCTCTGAGCCAGATATCTCATTTTGCACCTTTGTGCGAAATTCCTTTTCTTGAAGAAAAAAAAAAAAGGAAAAGAGAAAGTTGACTTTTTGACCTGTTCTTACAACATCCCTACATAGTTATGAGATACTTTAAACACTTATTACAATCAAAAATATCCCCAATGTCATTTAATCTTGATTATATTGAACAAGAACTCTTTTACCTTTTCAGGAATCTTCTCTGTTGTTTGAATCTGAGATGACACTCTTAGTAGTTGGAAAAACAATAGGATTGTTTCTACACTAACTGGGAGCTAATTTCAATCTTGTGTGACCGCCTTTCTTTCTAAAAAATCCTCTGTTACCTCAAGGTCTGGCCATCCTCCACACACCCCTCTATGATATCAATTTTAAATTAAAGGAATGTTTTAGGCATGTAGCTGAGAGGGCACCCAGTGCAAGAAACTAGCTATGATATAAGGAGATCTGACTGGCTCAGCAGAGAGAAAGCTAAAAGCACATAGCCAGGTTAGATCAATTAAGATCAGAATTTACATAATCCATCAGTAATAGGTGATGGTGGGTGATAGACCTGTGGCTTGCACATGAACAGAAATCCAAGAATACTTCCCTCTGGAAACGAAACCTCATTGTCCAGGGACATTTGCAGTGACTGGTCAGTCATTTACAGACTTCCAGTTCCATTCTCTCCTCCTGGCAAATTCATTTTAATTCCAAAATCTACACCAGGATACATTCTGCCCTATAAATATGCATACCAAGGCACCTTCAAATTGCTCTTGTTTAGAGGTCCGACAGACACTCTCTGTCTGTACCTCACCTGACTCTTCAGCAACTGCTGGCCACCTCAGATCCCTTTGATCTACAAATAAAACTACATCTGGACCTTGAGATCTGGAGTTCAGTTTCTTGGAGATGATATACACAGAATTGATCCCTGCTTTTAGTTGTCCAAAGCCCTCTCTGCAGCTTTACTTGAGCTATTAAAATTTTCCTATTAAATTTTGGTTGTGGGTGCCCCCTGGGACTCTGGCATTTTGGATAACACCTCTTTGATCTACCAGTGTGTGAAGATTACAGAGTATGGTTGGCCCTTTTTGTTGTTGTCAACTGCGCTTGAGTCAATCTCGACTCATGGCAGCCCTATGGATGAGACATCTCCAAGACCCCCTGTCCTCCACTGCTCTGCTTAATTCCTGCAACCCCTTCATACCCAAAGTGACCTCCTTCATAGAGTCCATCCATTTGGCATGTGGCCTTCCTCTCTTCCTACTCCCCTCCACCTTCCCTAGCATTATTGTTTTTCTCCAAATAGTCCTCCCTTCTAATGATGTATCCAAAGTACAACAGTCTCAGTTTGGTCGTTTTGGCTTCCAGGGAGGTTTCCAGCTTGATCTGCTCTAGGACCCATTTGTCCTTTTGGTCCTACCAATCAAGCAAATTGAAGCAGCCACCTCATGTGACCGATTTGGGGGTGTCATGAAAGGGCAAAGAATTGTTATTTATTTCATTTGTTGTTATTGTATTTTTACTGAGGGGGTAAGGAGAGGCACTTGAAGGATTTTCTGCCTCATTGCCCCAACTAACTTATCTGGCTTTTTTGGTACTCTGCACATTGATTTAGGTGGATGTGGGGCACCATTTTTTCCTGTGCCTCCGGCAAAAAGATATTATGAGCTATTCCTGTTATAAAAGTAGAGGGTACGAGATCTCTTCACAGTAAAGTCCTAACTAGTCTGTGCTAAATCATCCTGAGAGAACACTCTTTGCTTCAGAACAGAGGAATGGCCTGGGAGGATCAGATCAAGGTTCACCTCAGGCCGAATTCTTCGCAAGGATAAGACACGGTGAGATGAAGGCGGTTCACCCAAAATGGGTCACGTCAGCACTCGACAGCTGCAGCAGGATTGCCATTTTGCCCAACCCCCTTTTCTTTTTTTAATTTTATATATTTTTGTTAACAATTATGTCATAAAAATAGCCCTAACAGATATACAAAAGCAGCAAAGAACAACAAATGAACAAACAAGAACAAGAGGAGGAGAAACCAAACCTTAAAAAACATTTCTACTTTTGGATACATTTGTCCAGCCTTTATATTTCACACTTTTAATTCTTTTGAACTATTAATGTACACTTATTTTATTCCCTTAAATCCTTATTAAATATTTCAACAACTTTGTAGCTTGTTGTAGGTCCCTAATTCAACTTTAAACAATCTAGCATTGTTTGCGACTCTGACCTATATCTATCCATTGGTCCATTTCTAATCAAATTTATCAATTTCCAGATAGTCACACATTTTTCACCAACAATCAGAAGTATCCAGGATTTTTCCCTCTTTCCATGTTCTTGCATATACTGTTCTGACTGCCATTACCATATAAAAAAGTATTATACTGTCTTCCATGCCAGCATTCTCTGAAGATGCCAGCCACAGCTGCTGGCAAAATATCAGGGATAAACTCTTCTAGAACATGGCCTCATAGCCCAAAAAACCCCACAAAAAAACTATTATACTGTTTATATGTTTTTCTAAATCATCAAGTATTATACCCAGGAAGTAGAGTTTAGGGTCTCTTCTAAAATGAATTACTAATTTCAGCATCCCAGAATCTCACAGGACCATCCTCTTCCTCTCCCCTTTGGGGCTTGTTGGCCAGCAAGTGAACTAGTCACTGGCTCAGCTTCTCTTTCATGGTGAAAGGAGAAGCAGAAAGGGCAGGTGCTGGCACAAGCCTCTCCCTGCTGCACCGACACTCTTTGCCCTAAAGGCCAAATGGGCTGGAAGCCCAGACAGGGAGGAAAGAAGACGCAATAGCAGCAGCAACATGTGCCAGTGAGCCTAATAGGAGCAGACAAGGCCTTGGCTGGACATGCCAGGGACCATGGCACGTGGCAGGAAAGGAAGGTGGGCACTGGAGGAAGTGGGAAGGGAAGGGAAAAAGAATAAAGAAAAAGAAGAAAAAGAAGAAGCTTGTTCCATCAGCAATAGATCCTGGAGGGGAGGATCCATCATAAACCCTAGCTAGCTATCCAGGTGTATGACTCCATCTAGTCACCCATGATTTTCTGTTTTCTCCATCCATTTAGTCACCCATGATTTTCTTTACTTTCTTTACTCCATGCATCTGTGGAAGAAGACTTAAGTCTACAAAAGCTTGTGTGTTGTTGTTGTTGTTAACCACCTTTGAGTTGATAACAACAACAACATTTATTTATAATGCCCTTTCCCCTAAAGGGCAATACATCAGAACATCTACAATCAAAAACAAATGATAAAATAATACATTATAAAATGCTAAAATACAGTTTGTCCTCCACATTTGCAGCTTTGACTTTTGTGGATTTGATTATTCACAGATTTGATAAAT